AGAGAGAGGAGGGGGGGAAAGGGAGAGTGGGAACCGGCAAGCGCTAAGTGAGGAGGAGGAGGTGGGGAGGACAGGAAAGGAGGAGAGCAGAGGAAAGGGGGCAAGCAGAGGGAGGGAGAGCTAGAGTGGGAGTAGTAAAGAAAAAGAGCAAAGAAGAGGTGGTGGGTTGAGAGAGAGAGAGAGAGAGAGAGAGAGAGAGAGAGAGAGAGAGAGAGAGAGAGAGAGAGAGCACTCAGACAGCAACTCTGATACAAGATCACTGGCAACTCTATTTTAAGGGCAATTCCCAGAACTGTGATACTGCATTACATAACTGCAGAGAGCCCATATTGTTTTTAGACACCACGCCAAAAATGATAAAAGGGAGAGTTCGAAAAGGCCCACATCTGAACAAGAGGAGCCAAAGAGAGATGCTACTTTCGAGTAGTGTGCCCCCCCTTTCACACCTGCACAGCTGTGGAGGTACACCACAGTCCTGCCGCTGACTGACGTGACACAAGAGTTACCACTTTGCAAACGCGGGCGAGAAGCATCTGATCGAATACCACCCGTGCACACTTTTCAGCATCTGCAGTCACACATACATCATAGCTTACAGCTCTGACTAAAACCAGTTCAGTGTCTTTCTATCTATAGTGGCAGCGTTGAATCAAAGTACCGAGCGCCCACCTTTACAAAGAAAAAAAAAACCCCTACTCAGCAAGGTTGTCAAGTTAGTAACACAATGCCGATGTTAGCAGGAGCAAATTACGATTAGAAATACTTGAGCTTCTTCGTATCTTTACATAGAAAAAAAGATCAGGTGTACAATCATTGTGATTACTGATTAATCTTTCCAATTACGTTTTAGATTATTTGATTATTCATTTGGTCTAGGTCACAGTTTCCCAGAGCCCAAGCAGACATCTTCACACGTCTTTAGGTTCAACCAACAGTTTAAAAACATATATAGATTACATTTACCCTCCTATTAAAATAAGAAACCAGCCACTTTTCACATTTGAGAAGCTTGATGGAGTGAATTTTTCCATTTAAAAAAAAACAAATAATCAAAATTGCTGCAAATTCATTTTGAACCAACTGGCTAATCATTGCATTGACTGCGTGATTCAACTCTAAAACCACAAATATGTAACTCAAGACTCAAAAAGCCAAAAAGGCAGGTTGACGTCAAGACACAAAACCACAAAGCACACACACATACCCCCAACTGTAACCATGTCCTACTCTCAGCGCTGTCACACTTTAAACTGTGGATTTAGTAGGCCACGATCAACCACATTCAACTCAATTTTCATCAGTTGCTTATCTAGTTTGTCGCCAGCCAAGTCAGCACGAGTGCCAACTTTAGTACCAGCGACGGTGCACCAGTGAACCAGGTCATCAACTATTATCAGTGGTAACACATGAAATGAAATGAGCCCTGCAGAGAAGCCTGAAATGGCAATTCTTAAAAGGAAAGGAAAATGTTACTTCCACTTATCAAATACTTCTTGAAATCCATCCATGGACACTCACTCATAAAGCACACAGGTGAGTGAGGCAAGGCGGAGGGTGATGCTACTCTTTTCAGCTCTTTGCACAATTCTGTCAGAATAAATCAGATACTCACCTTATACTGAAGCTACACATATTCTAATATAGATATGCATGAGCAAAAAATACAACACACTCTGAGATAAATATAAGACACAATCCATCTACTTACAAGCCCCAAATGATTAAAAAAAATAAAAAATACTGACTAGATGCCACTAACAATTTGACAACCTCAAGCCAGTGCACCGCTGGGAGACTGGTATGCAAGTAAAATGCCTTAACACACACACCAATGTCCAGCTGAACGGGGGTTTCCAGCTATAATATGACTGTGACATTTATGCGTGCTGCTTTGACAGATCCACCATCTTTCAAACATGCTGGGTGACAGCAAAGCTGCGCTGTCTGACCAACTAGCCAGCCAGCTAACTTAAGTAGCAGGGAAGCTAACTACCTCACGTTACTCCACTGACATTTCTGGTTCCAGTTCAACTGATCAATGCAACTATCACACGTTACTAATCAATGTCTAGAATGCTGTGGAAATACTGAACACAGGGAAGGATACATGTTAAGTCCAGGTCAAAACCATCCTCTTGGTATCTCCTTTTGTTCCGGCTGACCATTTCTTTTATAATCGCAGCCATTGTAGCAGGTGACAGGAGTCTATATGGTGTAAATGGTGAAAACAGGTTTATCTAGTATTGGCGGTCTGGTCGTGTATGTCGCAGTCAGTGGGTCTGCTCTCGGTCGCTGAATTTTGCAGGTCCTCGCAGAGACGTGCTAGCCAGCAGAGCTTGCAGTGGCTGTCGGTAGGATTAGAAAGGCTTCCTCTGGATCATAAAGACGGGCCTTGCTCTGCTCCTCCGTGCAGGCCCGACTTTCCCAATCCTGCAATTCGTTTTGCAAACAGCCCCGAGTAAAATACATGCAGTTGTCCTCTGAAAAACCTTTAGATGCCAGACACGGTCCAAGCTGATGGCTCAATGGCAGCTGCCGCGATTGACAGCAAGAGGATAGAGAACTCACCGGTCCTCAAAACCCGTATCCAGTCACTAAGACGTAGCTAGCTCGCTAGCTAACTAGCTAGCTAGCGCAGCTAGCTAGCAACAATAGCTAATGCTACCTCCTTTTTCGATCCAAAAGCCTCCTAACGATTCAACATTGTCATCGACTGATTGCCAAGAACACATCTGAAAAAAAGTGACAGGCTCCACCTTAGCTGTATATAGACTACACAAAGATCAGAAATCTGCAAAGGCTGGTTTGACAGTTCCGTCCCGGGGAATCATCTTCTTTTCTCGTTCCTCTCGCTCCAGCTGAACTCTCAGGCTCCCATCATGGCCTCCACCGAAGGAAAAAAAGAAGGTAGAGCAGGCTGGGATTTTAGAACAAATATCCCTCCGCCTTCACGCTGTAGTTCCGCAGCTTAATTAAAACCGACAAATGCAGAATTATTCAATATTGTTTCAACAATTAATATCAGGACATGACAACCAGCTGCTTGCGTATGTAATTGTATTAGCCCTAAAAAGCGTAACAGTCGAGTTATTTCGTGCCTCTGGCGGAAGGATAACGTGTGTCCGCATGCGACGCTCCCTTCTGTCAAAGTGATCACGTGTGCCTGTAATTAGGGAAGTTTCTAACATAATGTCACTTTTCGCGGTTTAAACTGTCATTTCGTGCTGCAGCAAATACATCATTGTAACATATCCATCAAAAAACATTTAACGCAATTACAGTGGAAATTATTATTTTTTAAAGACGATCTACTTTATTCAATCTCCTCAAACTAACCCTAATTTATAAGAACGTTGTTAATTACAGCGCCGTAGAGGACAATGTAAGGAACACAATTAGTGAAAGAATATTTTAAAATGTGCAATTTTGTGAGTAAATTGTAAAGTATAGATTTGCAAGTTTGTAATTATCAGTAGGCATTTTGACTACCAGTTAATTAATAGTAGCACCAAAATGCCAAAAATCTACTTCCAGTTGCTTTAAAGTGATTATTTATTGGTTTTCTTAATCCTGTGTTATGATGAATTAAATATTGGTTTTGGGCAATGTAAAGATGTCACCTGGATCACATTCTCTCTGTTTTCTGACATGTTATAGACCAGTCGATTTAGGGAATTTGGGATTTAGGATAATTGACAGGAAAAATAATGAGGTTGCAGCTGCAGGTTTGATGCATTTTGATCATATTAGCTAAAATCACTGCATGTGACTGTGCTCTGCCTTTTAAAAAATAAGGTTTTGCAGAAAGGGATCACTACTGTTACAGCTGAACATTGCCAACCATCCATGATATTAATATCCATAATGAAAAATCAGCACCAGTCAACTTCTGAAACCAAGTGACAGCTGCACCAACCATTCCAGATTAAACCTACGATCACGAACTGACATCCTCGTGTCAAATAAGCAACCTTGCACATCGACCTCACCAGTGCTGCGCCGAACACCTGTGCTCCTGTTGGGTAGCGCATCACATTTTGAGGTGTTAGAACAGGGTTAGCCTATATTCAGAAATATATAGGCCTGTAGGACACAAGAGACTTACATCAGTAGCTGTCCTGGTCATTTCCCAGTGACATGACATGTTGCATGTACAGTAGTTGGAGATTTTATAAAGTACCGAGGGTGCAGTTCAGCAGATTTAAATGGGGTTACCTGGAACATCGCAGATTAAATGATCTGATCTCATATAAGGCTAATTAGGAACCTGCTTCTTACAGGGCAGACTGGGTCTCCTCATAGAAGAACACTCATCTCATCGCAATGTAAGCTCCCACAGCTTAATGACTGGCAAAATTAATCAGTCCTGCGAGTTCACTCAACCATCTCTTAAGTGTAATTTGAAAGAGTCTCAGGATCTTCCTTAATCTGTTATAATATAACTAGCTGGGGAAGCCAATCTGAGCCGGTGTTTTCTACAGCAGCTGTGTACTAAAGATTTTAGACCCTTCTAAAGAACATCACCACGGTTGACTGTGATTGCTGGGTTCACTCACCATAAACAGAAAATCAGACTGTTTTAGGATAACATGCAGGGACATATGACTGTCTTTGGTCCATCTCAGTGATGGACGTTATCATGATGGCTTTATTCACAGGGCTTAACTATCAAAGAAACCTAAAGTGACTGTGCCCTTTTACATGCATGCATTTACAGTAGTTTCAGTTTTTTTTTCTTGTGCCAGTTCTGCCCAGCAGATGGCAGCATTGTACTTTTTGGCTTTACAACCTGCGAACGCTTCTCTATCCAGTTGATCATCAATCCAACTCTGATAAGTGTTGCACCTTGTACAGACAGAAGTTGATGCCAGCAATGTTGCATAATCAGTGACACGAATGCCACAAAAACAGAGATAACATTTAAATCCAGCACACTAAAAAGCTTTTAAAAAAAAAAGGTTGAAGTACACCACATCCTTGTATCAGACAGTCACCAATGCTTCATAACAACAAATAATTTCCTTTATTACTGCATTTTACATACTCTGTCCTTCTAAAACTGCAGGTCTTTATTACATGAATGCACATGCCCACTTTTTTAATATCACAAAACTCTTATAGACATTTAAGGCAAACACCATCAAGAAATGACAATTTCTGTTTTACAAGTTTGACATTTGAGAGAAAGGCACTTTCACATTATATATATAAAACTATGTAGTATCTCACAAGAATATGAAACATTAACATGAGGAATTAATTAACATCCATTCATCTAAAACAATTAGGCAGTGTATGTAGTGACACAACTACGACGTAACTTCCATTCAGATCGTACAAATAACTCGACAGACAGTGACAGAATTACCATGTTAAAATGCTATAAAAGTGAAAACTACATGTTTTTTGTCTTGCGTCCTTCAGATGTCACATATAAAAAATTATTTCCCAGTCTTGGGATGTGTTTCTAAATTTATAAAATAGAAATAAAAAAGAATCTTGGTACCCTTAATTTATTAAAATACAAAGCTTAAGTTAATAGGTATATAAACACAATGGATTTATAAATCACATAGATTTATAGGAATGTAAAAAAATGTAATGCTTTCACTTCCTAAAACAAATCAGTTTAATTTGGTGGAGGCAAAACACCCACCCTGTCAGAATGCCTTGACTTGAATGATTTGCAGAAATCAAAATTCATTCCATCTCAAACACTCCTGAAGGATAGCATGTATGCTACACTTCCTTTGAGAGCTGACTTTATCAGTATGCTGCTGACTGCTGAGCCGAGCTTTTGATTACTTGTTCTTCTGAAGAGAAGTGTAGTATTCGACCAGCACCTTCCAGGCCTTGGGGGCCATGAAACCATCCGGAGGGTTCTCTCCGCTCCGAGCCATGTTCCTCATCTTGGTTCCAGAGATGAACTCAAAATCAGCTTGTCTGAGTGATTGAAGAATGGGGATGGGTAGTATGGAGTGGGCAGAAAAGGTCATTAGAAGTCAACATTTACAAATTATACAACCATGATAATGGCAAAGAAATAGTTAGACCTGCATAGAAATACCAAATATGGATTAAAAACAGATCCAAACACACATAGAAGTGAGTCTCAATGGTCAGAATTTTGGGAGCTTGTTCACATTTTCATGAAATTCATAATTTGATTTAAAGATTTGAGCCTAAAAATGTGTCCAGGACAATCTAATGTCGTGCTTCATCAATGGGGACACATTTTCATTCAAGACAGTGCAGTAAAGCACAGAACAACACAGGAGAGGTATTAATGATCCACTGCATTTGGTGATTTGTTCCAGTTGTCTGGCACTGGGGATCACACAGTGCAGGAAAACTACACAAGATGATTCCAGCTTAAATATTTAAAATGAAGCAAGCCCAAAAACAGTAGTGGGCAGAAGGAGATAGACAGTTTTAATTTCAAGTAGTCTCTTATGCCACCTAAATGCTTACTGCAGTTTGCAAAAAAAAAAAAAAAACAACACAAAACTGTAGGTCTTTCATCACTCACCGCTCTGGGCTGTAAAAGTCCATTGCCTTCTTAGCCTTGTTGTAGGCTGCTACCCTGAAAGGGATGATCTCCACAGATGTGAGACCGGGGGCCATGGTGAGGACCTTACCCCCATGGGTCGGGTCATACAAGTCCTGCTTCGTCTCCGGGTGAGGCATGCCTGCAGGGTCCCGGCCAACGATGTAAAAGTTTGCTCCAGCGATCATCCTGGCTCTGCAGTGCCACTGAACCTGGAAGACAAAAAGGCGGATATTCAAACACATATCATATGATTTAACAGTCAAAACCTCTGACTGAGCCATAATCCACCACTGCTCCTCACCTCCGTGGGCCCAGCATACATCATAGGTGAGGGGAAGATGGCGACGATGGTATTAGCTGGGTCCAGGACGCCCTCCTCCAACACGGCGGCATGTTGCCTCATCCGCCAGTCCAGAGGCACGTCGTCATCTTTGGTCCAGCCGCCGAGCGGGTGAAGTAAGAGGACTGGATTTTTGTATCCTCGCTCCAGGAGACGGCGCTTGGTGTCTTGCATAAGCAGGGCGTGACCGTTGTGCACCGGGTTACGCAGCTGGAATGCGAATATCGCATCTGGGGAGGACAACACGGCGGACATAAGGTTAACATAACAAGAGTAATGGCATTAGCTGATTGAGCCTGTTTCCTGATCTGATAGCACAAAACATGTGAAAGGTAATGTGCATTAAAAAACTGTCACAGCAGATATGGTCATCATGCCTTCCACATTAATCAGATGGTATTTGATGATGAACTTGGAGCCACAGTGGCTTGTGGTGTTTTGTGTTAAAGAGCACATGTGTTTTTCTTACCTTTAACAAAATTTTTGAAAACACAAAAAACATCACTTCACCCTCCAAACAAGTATAGTGCATGCAACAAACCCAGTGTTGTGTGTTGCTTAATGTCAGAGTTTTACAGTTGCCATTAATTAGACACTGTTGCATTGATCACGAACATGAACACGAGCACTGCTGTTGATTTTGCGCCATTTCCACAAACACCATTTTAAATACTCACTATTAAATTAAATTTTGAGCAGAACAGCACTGCTTCCTTCTGTTTGAGTAATATTTGCTGAAACAACATCTGTTTTAGAAAAGATGAAAATGTATATCTTAGATTAGCTTTTCAGTGGAAACAAACAGGTTTGGGTACGACAGGCTGTTTTTGATTTTCATTGAGAATTGTTAATGATAAAAAATACAAAACAGTATCAGTATAATCTAAGTTAAACTTAATTTATCCAGTTTAATTTAAATCATGCCAAAATAAGTCACCTCAGGGCATGTTACAAGAAAAGGTCAAGATCCTGGAATATTATAGTGAGAAACCAAACGACTTCCCACTGAGCAAACAGGACTCAGGGTGGGTGGCCAACCGCCTCAACCAGTTGAGTTGAGGTGAGAGTGGAGATAAAAGTTGAGCATTGAAAAACAATAGGAAGGATGGCGAGGCCAATAATAGCAGATCAGTAACATACAGATTCCAACATGCTTGCACCAGAAGTAAAACTCAATAATAAAAAAAAAATGTCTAAATGCACACTGTGTTGTGACGTAGATGAAAAAAATGAAACAATCTTGAGCACAGCATTCAAGTCAAAGTGAGTCAGTCAGAGGAAAATCAGGTGATAATGTTTCATTATGTGTTAACTTTCCAGAAAGACACTGGATGTCTCCACTGATCGCAGAACACATCACAAAGATCACCATGCAGCTTTCAAGTTACCATTTTACTTTTTCATCTGGTCCTTTGTCAAGTTCTTCTGAAAGACAAATGGTGCATTGCTAAACATACTGCTTTCATATTTATGCTTATTTTTTTTCACCTGCTGCGACGGATGTTTCAATAAAGTATTTATGAAAAGTGTCACAACAGCAGCTACAGACAACAAATTGTGCACCAGTTTGTGTTCCCTAAATGGTACTGCAGTTTAGTATTTTAGATTTTCTAACCTGCTTTCATGTCTTTGAACTTCTGCTTGAGTTCCTGTGGAGTGAGGCGGTACTGGTCGAGTCCATCGTTCCATTTGATTCGCTCCAGCACCTCCAGGTCACCACCTACCAGCCAATCGCCTCCTTCCATAACCATCTACACAAGATGATAAACAGTGTTTTTTACTGACTAAATATTTAAAAGTAACTAAAACCAGTATGTACACTGACAAAATATTTTTCTCGGGCTCAATGCATGTTTTGTTTGTAACAAAACCACAATGTTCATTGCAGTAAAGGTAAACACTAATGGAAATTATTAGAGGATGTTGCTGTCTGCAGTCATGTAGTAGACATTAAAATAATTAAACAGTGTGTGTTGATGAATGTCTCATTACCTTAATATAAGGGTGCTGTGGACAAGTGGTGCCCCACTGTCTGGCACAGCGTTCCTCCTTGCGGTGTGGGTAGAACTCTGGGTTCCTGAGAATAGCAACACGTGAACCCTGGTACTCCAGAGCTATAGCTGCACAGCCATCCAGCTCCTGCTTGGCTTCATTACTAACAGGCAGGACAACAGGAACAGTCAAGTTGATGACTCCACCTGAGAGTGAAGAGGATGTAATAAGTGAACACAGATACCTGAAATAAACAGTTTGATAACAGCTAAACAGCTAAAAGCAATGGACAAATGGCTGAAATAGGTAACTAATGGATAATAAAGGGAAATAGATCGAGGCTAAATGTAGGAGTACTGTACATCTGGAATTTTTTTGTTGATGCTGTACAGTGACATGAAACACAAAGAAAGTGATACATCGATCACATTTATATTTAAACATGGAATGCATATTTGTTGCATGCAGCATAGATATTCAATCATGCATTCATTCATCAACACACACCCTATTTTAAAGTTAACTAAACAGTAATTCTCAAACGTGTGATATTTTCCAACTCAGTCTGGCTGACTGCTGATGCTGGTACTGATACATGCATGTATTTTTTTCCACCCAACTGCAGAGAACATCAAATCTCTCATTTAGTGGAATTAACATATTACACCCACCAGCATGTGCAGACATAAAATGCAATGCTTTGTAAATGCACGTGTTCACTGGGAAAAATAAGAAAACGAATTTACATGTAAAACATATCATGTTCACTTTTATGTAACAGTGTTCACAAATTGTAAATGTTTCGCCATAACAATAACAGACAATATCTGCGATTCATTTTTAAATTTTGGGCTGATGTTTATATTTAAGAGCCCTGTGATAGACTGGCGACCTGTCCAGGGTGTCCCCTGCCTTCGCCCTAAGTCAGCTGGGATAGGCTCCAGCCCCCCACGACCCTAGTGGTGTATAGATCATGGATGGATGGATGGATGGATAGATGTTTCTATTTAATTTTAAAGCCTTTACTGGCTGATACCAGTGACGACGCTGATCCCTTTTTGCATCCCCAGATCACAGTGTGATTGACTCTTACCATCAAGCAGGTTGCCAAAGTGCAGGACCTGGAGGAACTCTCTCTCCCTCATGAAGCCCTTCAGCGGGCTGGCCCAGCCCTCTGCCAAAACCTGCACCCACTGTAGATCCAACTGCGGACAAAGAGTAATTCCCCATCAACAGCATGAAACAACTATGATACTGAAGGTATTTAGAGTGTTATTTGACTTCAGAAAAGCTGTGGATTTGACTGCACTGGTGATATTTGTGTGTTACAGACATACACATTTCAAGTCTATCATTACACTTTGAATAAAATCAGTAGCTTATGTGAGTAAGAATGCTGGCAGATAACAGTGAACGTTCACAAAACAGACACAGTAAATCAACTTCTTTCTCTTTAAACGCTTATATAAAATTCTTTGTGCCATATTCAAAGGACACATTTCTGCAGATATTTTTCTGATCAACAAATTAACTGCAGCAAAATGTTCTAAAAAAAAAAAAAACATGCTGCATGTACAGTCTTGGATGAATAACACAATGCGATTTTCCAAACACATTACAGCATTCATAAAAGGTAGTTAACAAGTAATAAGTCCACTGAACCTTCTTGACCTCAATAAATGAATCATTTTAACATGTCACTGTTGAACTCGAAGGCCACAGATCAGCTGGACCAGGCAGTATTATAGAATCAGAGCAGTGGAAAACATCACTATGAACAGCTCTCTGCCCAGTATTGACCGTTCATTAATTTGCTGTGTGATAAAAACAAACCTATGTCCTGAATGGGTTACCTTGGTGATGCTGATAGTGGGCAGGGTGTTTGCATCAGCCATAGCAAGATTCAGTTTGTTCTCCGGAACAAAGAGTTCATTCACCTCCTCCATGATCTCGCCCGGTACAATATTCTAGATATAGGCAGAGAGAGGGAATATTAATATTCTGGTCAGATATGGTTGTTGATGCAGAACTTAAATCATGATTCATAAACTTTTATTAGCTGACATTAACAGTGTACAGCACGTCAGCAGGTGTAGCTCCAAATAGTCCAGGAAATGAACGGACAAATTGGTTTTATAATTTTATGGATCTTTTACTCAAGTAGGAAATAATTATGCCAATATCCTTTGAAGTACTGATGAAGTTAGTTTTGTCTTACAAACCATTAAATCACCCCTAGAGGTCACAAATACTTTACAGAGAAACAGACAGTGGCATGTTCCATTTCACTCCCACCACTTCATGTGAATGGGCATTGTCACATGACTGTTCAGGTAATGCAGCAAATCTGACACCGCTATGAACAAAACCTTGTTCAACCTCAATGTGAACTTACAGACTGACTAAGCTTGCCTGGGGACATTTAATAGGGACAGAGCATGTAAATACATGTTTACATTCTGAATTGCACCTGTGTAGTTTCAGTTTTGGTGTAGCAAGATATTTCCACACAGTGCATACATGGTATCGTATGATTAGAAATGGGTTGCATTCTACAGTGCACCCACTTTCTATTTGTCAACATTTACAATCATGAATATACAAAAAATATGTTATTCAGCTGCCAGATACATTTTATCTTTGGCTTTAATGAGGTTAAATATTTCAAACTTCAATACTTGCTTACAAATGTATTCCAATACGTGTAAATACTAACTGCCTGACCTTGTTCTTTGTAAGTCAACAGAACTGGATTCCCGAGAGACACATGTGTAAAACGGCAACTTTACATAATCGTTTCATAGAGTCGGGATGACACAGCATGTTTTATTTTATAAGTAAGTCACCCCCTCACCTCAGTGATAGGCCAGTACACCGCCAATGTGTTTACACATTTACTTTATCAGGTACCTTACCCTCAGTAAAGGCTGGGTGTTGGCAGCACATTTACTTTTTTTTTTAAATCATTCTAATGTGTTTGCATAATGTGAATGAAAGTGTATTTAAGCTTTTATTCACAAGATTTGCACTTGAAAAGCCAAGGTCGAGGTTACACCTGTCTTTCTAGTCTGACTTTTGTGATGTAGATTTTGGCAAAAACCAAACAACACTGAATGCTGCACTGTGGACTCTGTCTATGTCTCTGAGTGTTTACTTACAGCATAAATGATCCTTGGATCAAATGAGGGCAAATCCATGAAAGGTGTGGCTTACTGGGTAACTGAGATACCATATCTCAGCTGTATCATTACTGTTTGCTGCTGCAATAATAAACTTCGTGGCTACTTATTACCTATGTGTCTTTTACAGAACGTTTGACTTGCCTGATTTGCCAGAGAACATTTAGCACCTACATCATTGTTTGGTTTTAGGAATCTACCACTGTAGCTCGTCTTTGACTAAGCTGAACAATCAATGGATTTCAGATCAAATCAATGCAATTAGCAAATGCTGCAGTTTGGGATATATGTTGTATAGTGTGTGACCCAGGGTTTATACTGTCGTGTCAATAGTTTCACAAAGTCACCCTGTCCTCCGTGCGTTACAGTCACGCTATTGATGGTATCTCATGTGGTAATGCTCAATCACATGTTTTAAATCTATTACACAGTGAAGGCTGAACTGAAGCTTGACTTAAAAAAAATACTGCAAATCAGATCACAATATCTGTAAGAAAAATGACAACTCGATATTTTCTCAAATCATTCATCCTGAACTATACTGAACTTACTTGGTGACTGCTTGTTTAAATGGGGATATACTGCATTATTCTGTGTCCTGACAGACCAGTAAGTATTAGCATTTGACATTTAAATCACTTACACAGTGGCCCCTTGCTCATGCCACACAGTTGAGAACTGCATACTTCAAAACGGATATTTGTTTTTAACATTGCAGAAGAGTAAACTGACTTGTGGAAAGCTGTGTGATATAGAACATGTACAGCAGGTACAGTGCGTCATTGTGCTACAGAGATCTGGACAAGTTTGAGGTGTTTGTTTTAAAATGTTAGGCAAAGAGAGCCCCGGATCCTCGCTTGTCACACCCACCTGCTCCTTGAGCAGATCCAATACTTGGTGGAGACATTCATTCACTGTGAGCTCTCCAGTTTTCAGAACAAGCTCCGGCGCCTCAGGACGCTCATAATCTGAGTCAATCCCAGTGAAACCTGGTAAGAAATGTCAAAAGAAATTCCCTTAGCAGTGATATAAAAATATAAACCTGAATGAGATACAATTATGAAGTAAACCACGCTGTAGTTCTAAAAAGGCCTTTTCATTACTTGTCTATGTCACAGAGTGGTAACACACAAAACACAGGGAGAGAATTTTCTGTGGTGAGCATTGTCACACAGACCTTTAATCTCTCCGGCGCGAGCCTTCTTGTAAAGCCCTTTTACATCTCGGCTCTCACACACTTCAAGAGGCGCGTGGATGAATACTTCGAAAAATGGCAGCCCGGCATTTGCATGGATCTTCCTCGCCTCGTCACGATCCTGTAGGGAGGGTAAAAACAGTAAGCATATTTAATTTAAACTTAAAATCTTTCGTTAAACCTTTTAGATCATCAGGTGTTAGCCTTTGTTAGATAAAGTTTTCAGTTTTTTAAATGAGCAGCTACATTATGCACCAAAACGTAAATGTCCATGTTTTCTGACCTTGGCGAAAGGAGAGATGAAACTGGTGACGCACACGAGGCCGGCGTCGGCAAACAGTTTGGCCACTTCAGCGACACGCCGGATGTTCTCCTCGCGGTCTTCGGCGGAGAAGCCCAGATTCTTGTTCAGGCCGTGGCGAATGTTGTCTCCGTCCAGTGAGTAGCAAGGGATGGCGTGGGACACAAGATACTCTTCCAGGGCAAAGCTGATGGTGGTCTTCCCAGCGCCAGACAGACCTGGTCAGATAAGCGCAGTGGGTAAAGTGAGCAGCGTAGCGCGTTTCAGATTAAACCTTGGTTTCTATGTGGCTGAAGAATGAGCCACCTGATAACTAAGGGGTGGACATTATGTAAGAGTTTACCGGTGAGCCAGATGGTGCAGCCCCTGAAGCCACCCCTGGTCCCCACGACTTGGCCTCTCTTGCTTCTGCTGACATGGTGGGCCTGGTACACCACATTGGTCGACCTGTTGAGATCCTAAAAAAAAAAAAAAGACAAGAGAATAGCGGCTCAGACGGACGCTATCTGAAGACACAACTGACACAAATACCTCGATGTATAAAACAGAGGTGACCTATTTCTGAGCGTAAATGTCTTCAGCTCAGATTACCTATTAACCCACACAGACATCCCACCTCTGCTTTGTCTGTTCTACTTAGTATTTCAAGTCTCGTATCACCTGTGGACAAATCTACTGTGACTAGGAAATTGTAGACACAGAAATGCAGCACTGGACCGAGTTAATAAGATTTTACTAAGGTGTCGTGCGAACTCGCACATCACGGAAATTGGCAGAGTGATTGAAAGTCGGTTTAGCCGAATAAGACTGGTTTTACATGCCGTGTCTAAAGTGACTACGTAGACCAGGCTGTGGATAAATGGGGCTGTATTGACTTCTAAAGGGGAGGGGTGGGGAAGGGAGGCATAGCAGGGATGGAGGGAGGGAGAGGACTGACTGGACAATGTGTCCAGTGTGCTGCCTGCAGCCCAGCGATGATGTGGCAGTGCTCGTGCCCACACGTTCGCCCTCTGCACCCACTCTCCCTTCTTCCCCACATCCTTACGCCTCTAACCTGTCCACCCAGCGTTACAGCACTTTAACACACCAAAACCCTGCCATTTGCCCTCACACGATTTTAGTCACCTGTGTTTAATGAGCCCCCTTTTCACATACAAACACAGCCTTGATTCCAGAAAAAAAAAAACCCCACCACCCTGACTCGACACACATCACGGTGTGTTATAACCGCTACCCGAGTGAGGGTGGGGATGCACAATGTTAACAATGTACTGACCCGCACAATGTGGGTGAGGCGTAGACAAACAGCACTATTCTTTCAAATGTAGGAGACACCTTCTCTCCTTTCCATCGCATGACCAATACACTACTTCTTGTCTTCCCTTCCTCCCTTTCAGCTTCCTTTCAACATAAAGTGTTTTACAAGTCTTGGTACTGTCATTAAAATCACAGCTCTTTGATTTAATCACTATCCATCTAAAAAAATTTAGCCGCCTTTCCCTTTTTTATACATGTGTTTGCAAAAATAAACCACAACTTGACTTTATATTATTAATCTAATTTCATTTTAATCTTTTTTTTCCAGCCCTTTGCTCATTTTATTTTGCTTTTCCCTTTTAACTGCCTTGTTGAAAAGCACATTGAACTTCATCCCTGTCAAATAATTCCCTTAAAAATCAATGTGGAAGATCTTATGTAACTCTTTTCCCCTTTGCTCCACGTTCAGCCTCCATCCTTCTTTCTCAGGAAATCGCAGCTGACGAAAAAGATGATGATCAAGTAATCTGGAATTACTCAACGTAGGGCATATGTACAGCAATAACGGACGTAGCTACTGGTAAATCATGTGCTTCATTCTGTGGATATGCTACAAGCCATGTATATAAAATTTGTTCTTTTCTGCCGGGTAATAAAATGGGTTTCCCTTTCTCTAATAAGCCATCAAGTCTGCTGTAATATAAGTTCTGAGCTGTGCTAAATGCTCGGTTAACTCAGTGCATGTCTTCGGGCCGCAACTAATGACTTCATTCATTGATTCGCCAAGAAAAATGTGAAAAATGCCAAAGTTTGCATATTTAAATTTGTTATTCTGCCCAACCAACTGTTCAAAATCACAAAAAAAAAGCAGCAAATATTCACATTTAAGAAGTTTGAAGCAGCAATTATTTGACAATTTCCCAAGACAAATGTGAAAAATACCAAAGTTTGCATATTTAAATTTGTCGTTCCGTCCAACCAACTGTTCAAAATCCAGAAAAGGGCGACATTTGAGAAGTTTGAAGCAGCAACTATTTCACAAGTTCCCCCTTGAAAAGTGACTCAGACCTTTCATTTCTCCGAAGAGTTGCGGACAAAGATCTAAGTGAGCTCATTTGATGAATAAGTATATAATTTCCAGCTTTATGGGACGAAACCAGGGGCAGCTCCGAGGATGGAAATACTGCACAAGCTTTACAGTTTAGGTCATTTTGCAGATTTCAGGCTGTCTCATAATTTTTCTTTTTGGGTGAGTCCAACATATGTTCTCCAAGTTTTGCAGCATTCCTTGTGCAGCATCAGCCCTGCCGTGTCACAGTGGCTTCATTCTCCACCTCCTCACAAGACACCCGGTGTTATGAATGGACCAAATTCACATGGATCACTTACTACAACTGGCCTATTCAAGAGTCGAGGCGAGTCTATAGCATCACACCTGGCAGTACAGTAAAGAGGCATACAAGTGAACATGGCGTTGCGAAGAAGAAAGCAACAATCATTTTAAAGAGGGGGAAAAAAAGACAGAGTTTACATGTCACTGTGCGATCATCAGACTGAGGTTTGGTAACAGCAGCACACATAACGGGTGATCGGTGTTCAGACTTACTTGCCACATTCTTGGGAGGAGTTTTACATCTCGCACACACTTCGCTGCACTTACACGAAACATTTCTGCTCCTATCTGATGACAGCTTCAATTTCAGCTGTCTCCTCTCCTCCTTCTACCCCGTTATCTCCACATCTACTCACCGTACGAAGCTTTTTCACCCCGGACATTTCGCTCTTAAGTGTACAAACGCCGCCGATGGGGCTTGCTTGCTTGCTGCTTGAACACCGGGCTCGGACGCACGGAGGCCTGGATGCCGCTCGCCTTCGGTTTGTAAAACTTTTCGGCCACGGTAATCGAAGAAGGCGGATGGGGGTTTTTAAAAGGGACTTCAAGACACGTAGCATTCCGCTGGCCCAGCCTCCTACCCTCCCAGCCTCCCTCCCTTCTCCGACGTCCACAAATCTGCATAATTTATCGTATACCAGCCATGCAAAAAAAGGGGCAAGACGGGACGAGCACCGAAACCGGCAGGACTGGGTCGGAGGTTGGGCACGAAACGCTATTACAGTGTGAGAAAAACGTTAGATGAAATGACTTACTTCAAGGGTTGTGAAAGTTGTTCTTGGCGCTCCAGGAGGCTAATAAAAAAATAAAAAAAACCTCAGCTCGGGTTTCAAAAGTAGTCTCCGAACTGTTTAAAGAACACCCAGCTATGAGCTAACAGTAACTTTTTAAGCTAGCTGCCGGTTAGCTAGTTAGTTCTGCTAAGTTAGCTTAAAAAAAGTGGAACAGCAAAGTGTGGTTATTTAGCGAAAGTTCCCACACAAAAAAATGAAGTAACACAGGCTGAGATAATGACACACGAAGGAGCACACTAATAAATAAGTGCAGTGAAAGCAAACGAAGCTTAACAATGAGATGAGTAAACAGTGGTTTCATAGTATGCGATTAACGGTCAAAGGTAACGCGAGAGTAGAAGCTCTGCAGGTAGAAGAGCCTCCACGTGAGACCATGCAGGTGATCTACAAGTGCACCTCTAGTTTTGTTCAACCTTGATTTAAGCCTGTCTAAATGCCCACATCAGAGACAAACACACCATTTCATTGTGGAAATTACCACCACCAGAGCACTTTCCTGTAACGGCTTTATTTGTCGTAACTAATTGCTTTATGGATGCTTGGTAAATCATGTGCTTTATTCAGTGGACATGCAACAAGCCATGTTGTGGACATGCCCTCTGGCAAGGTTTTTGCATGATGGTTAGCCGCCAATAAATGTGCTTCCCCTTCTTTTTTTTTCTCCCTACTAAGCCATCAAGTAATAAGTGATAAGCTTTAACCTGTGCCAGTTGTCCTTGTGTTAACACGCAGTGTGTTATGCAGTTTGATTAGCTCAGTGCTTATCTTACTACCTAACTGCTGCCATGATTGGCTTCATTCATTGTTTTGCTATTAATGTGTAAAATGTTTAAGTTTGTAGATCTGTCCAAGGCAACAAATATCCACATATCAGAAGTCCAAAACAGCAAATAGTCTCACAACTTTCTATCAAAAGTGATTCAAACATGTCAGTGCTGGCAAAGCTTCATGTGAGCTTGTATGATGGATTCAGCATCACTAAGTGTCTGTCACATTTTAGGTGATGAGATTGCAGCTTTGTGGGACTAAAGTGTATATTTATGGTATTTCCAATATCAATTGCAAGTGTCTTTTCTATGTGGTAGTTACGTGTTGGTTAACTGGTAATAACTGTTTTTCTAATAAGCCATGGAGTCTGCAGTAATAAGTGACGACAAATCATCAATAAATGGTTTTAATCTAGCTCATAAGCTCTCTTATGTATCTAATAAGATATGGTGTTTGTCTTTCATGGCTCTTAAGTCTTCAGTGGCTCATTAGTAAAACCGTACGTATACCTCGTTTTAGTTTAAGCTGTGCTGTTGCTTCAGTCGCGATCGCAAATGTCAGAACACCTCACCTCAATGATCAATAACTTTTTAAGCAGAACATATGAAACATGTGCACTGCAAAAATAAATTCTTTAATGCTGTGCGGTAATGGGAAGAAGCTTTGCAAAAATAAGCAGTATAGCAGTTGTAATACTGTGGTGGCAAAGGGACCTCTGGCTGGTATCACTGTGCTCCAGAAACACCAGATCTGACATTTTTAAGGCACAAGACGAAAGAAGCGGAAAGGCTTCGTTATTGCTTCATTTAGGGAGGGAAAAAGGTCAAACAGTGATATGCTCATGAGTACTTTGGCAGAAGCATTCAGACTAAATTATTTCCATTAGAAACATTATCCTCACTCCTTTTTCCAAAATAAAACGCAATTAAGCAAATATATTTCCTGCCTTTCCAGACTCTAGTCAGTCCGTCTAAACTTAAGCAGGATGCTTGAAAATCTGACATTCAGTCTCAAAGTCGCAGCCTTGAAGCAGGTCCCTGTAGTGCTTTTTCACATCCTGATAGAGCGGCATGGAGGCCTTCTGATCAGCCAGACCGGGGAAAGTCACAGGCTTCTCGTTGAGCAGCGGCTGCAGTCTGATGTCGCCTCCTCCACAGTCGTACAGCACCAGGAGTAAGTTGGCTGTGTAGGGCAACATGAGGCTGGTGCGGAAAGAGCGTTGGGTCTGCGTGGCGTAGTTGGTCGATGTCGGGGCATCGCTGTCCTTGAAGAAACCCAGCAGGGTGATCAGTGGCAGGAGGGTCTCTGCGTGGCCGATCTGGACCGTGACAGCCTCAGTCACCTGCTGGCCTAACCTGGTTCACACATCACAGTACAGTTTAAGATGTGACCCCGAATGAGCTCTTGTTAGTTATCCAGAGTACATCTTGCAAGAATAAATCCTGCCAGATGTAGTCCAGAGTCAGTTCAACATGGCGATAAAACGATCAAATTTGTTCCCAACCTAAAGGACAAATATTGACCTACAACTAGGTGTCGCGCTGAAACAATTGAATCAGTTGGTTAAATAGAAACTTCACTGAAAACAATCTTGATTATCAGTGATTCATACAATCTCTTGCTTCTCACACTGAATTTTTTATCATTGTATGTAAAAATCTTTGGACTGTCAGACAAAACAAGATATCTTTTTTTTTTTAAGTTATTTTTTTGGCCTTTGTGCCTTTATTGGATAGTTTTTAGTCAGAGAGACACAGGAAAGTGGGGGGAGGACATGTGGGAAAGGGTCATGAGCAGGATTTTTTAAACTTTTTTTTTTTAAAATTCTGCCCTGATGACAAATCTAGGAAGAACTCATTCTTATGATCTATAATCTTTTCTACTTATTGACAACACAAACTGCATGTCCAACTTGTTTGCCAGCAGAACTCGTGCTTTTCTGTGCACATACACGATGTCCCTTTATAATAGTAACTGCAAATACTATGGCAAATATTTGACCAAGGTGCTCCACATCTCATTGGTAAAAAAAATACTGAGAGTTTCAAAAACAAAGGAACAAAGGCAATGCTTTTTGCCAAGAGTGAGAGCGAAACAACACAGATCAGAAGGAAAGCAGATTAAATATGAAATGTTTTGTCCATTCCACTCAAGGTTTTAAGTTTGAGGTGTGAAGGCCGGGGCTCAAATTCGATCCGTGTACTTGGAAAACCTGGAAAAGTGTGCGCGTATAACTTATTATTTTCTTTTTTTTGTTGTTTTTTTTAACAAATATGTTTGTTTGCATCGCCATAATGCTCTGTTTTGAGAGAGATGTACTAGAATTGGTTTTTATAGACAGTTTTGAAAAAGCAAAACAAAAAAAAAGTAAGAGATTTCTGGGATGCATCAGCTAAAGTTTGGCAGACTTCATTTCATATATTCACATTTGCCAAAAATACGTATGTGTATGTGATAGCTTTAAGAAAAAAAAAACATGATTTTCCAACTAACAGTTACTTCATGACACATTGTTTAGTCTATGAAATGTGAGACAATATTAAAAACTATCTGTTACATGTTCCCAGAGTTGAGCAACTTTCTTGTCCAACTACCAAAGATATTCAACAACAAATGATTGAATTGGAGAAACTTGAAACCTTCAATGCTGTCACACAACTGTTTCAGTTAACGGACGAATCATTTCAGCTCTACTTGAATGAGACATGCAGCGTCTTACTCAATTAGTCAGCGTCTTATCAGCAAATCCCACGAAAAGACAAAGCAACAATGGGTTTATCCTTCTAAGAAGAGTTGTCTGTGGCTCCAAAGCCTGATATACCTTTATAAATAGACCATAAATAGATCTGCAAACAATCTTATCCATAAATACATGTCATAAAAACACATCAGTGAGTTGCTGTTGCACACTGTCCTGCAGCTGCTGCTGGAAGTAGTCACTGTCTGAAAAACGGTGTTACTACACAGCTGAGGAAAGTCCCAAACAAATACCCAGCAAGCTCTACGCCTTTAGTAGGAATGGATGGTTTGGAGCTGAGTGGCACAGACATGGAAAGTAATGTTGGAAAGTATCAAAAGATGGAGTACTGCATTGTTTTGTTTTTATTTGACCAATAAGATTTAATGAAAATCAGAAAACCATTGAAGTTTTACTCACTTGTTCTGGCTGACGACGTTGTCCAAACGACTGAAGACATCATGGAAGAGGGTGCAGCTGGACTTGCTGTTAATATCGTAACCATAGCCTCTTTTCCAGTATTGCTTCAGATCATTTGCATATTCCATAACCTGTTGAACCAGAGAGCACAAATCACTACTGGAGTATGACTATAAATGATAACAATCTGTGACTCTTTCATTGTGTGAGGTAACATTTCAGGCTTCCTGTGTGCCAGGTCGGCCTGTAACACAAGACACAGAACGGTCTTTGTGGTGGGGTAATGCCAGCAGTTTCTCAAAACAGGGAAAACAAGCAGGATCTTTCTCTACGTTGACCCTCAAAAGTTTCCTATGTTTATTTACCATCTATATTATATACAAAGAAGTTATGTAACAGATGTACAGACCGTCGGGCTTAAATTAATTTTAGAAAGGTGGCTCGCAGCTAGAAGATCACCAGTTCGTGTCCCAGTTAGGACACTCGGGATCTTTCTGCGTGGAGTTTGCATGTTCTCCCCGTGCAGTGTGGGTTCTCTCCAGGTTCTCTGGCTTCCTCCCACACAGTCCAAAAACATGTTGAGGTTAATTGGTGATTTTAAGTTGTGTGTAGGTGTGAATGTGAGTGTGCTTGGTTGTCTGTCTCTAAGTGTAGCCCTGTGATAGACTGGTGACCTGTCCAGGGTGTCCCCTGCCTTCACCCTAAGTCAGCTGGGATAGACTCCAGCCCCCTGCGACCCTAGTGAGGATTAATGTATAGATGATGTATAGATGCCCTGGTTAGGCTTCAAAAAGCTAAAGAAACCAACAGATAAAACATTACCAGACTCAAGTGTCTTTGTTGACATTGTTCCACACATCATTTGAGGGTCAAGGACTTAGGGAGCTGGTGCAGTTCAATGTTTGCTTTATTCTGTTTTTTTCCTTTCCCTTGAATACTAAGCTATGACTTTCTGTTCCCGTCAAGGTTTTCTGCTTCTCACAGAGTGTGAAACCTCTGCTCTTACACGCTGTACACCTTGTGCCAAATTGGGAGTTTAATATTAACATAGTCTAAAAATAAAAAAGCTGACATTTTGAAATTATATGAAATTCAGCGTGTGTGCGTGTGCAGAAAAGCATAATTTGTCCCCGCTGTAGTAAATGACTGATTGCTGGTGAGTTACAGTTCAGTTCAGGTTAAACATGTGCAACTGTCATGCTGGAATCTTTTACTTGGCTGCTTTCCAAGATGACATTTGACGGCAGAGACACCGCAAATCTAGCTGAGGCCTGTACCTGTGCGTCGACCTCATCCAGGAGTCGACACCACGGGGAGTTCACGGTCTTGATGGCAAACTCGTAAGCGCACATGTAGAATGCAGCTTCTGCCATGTCTGCAGGTGAAAGATTGGGACAACGTGTCAGTAAGTAGTGAAATCAGAAAGGTCAGAACAACAGAACTAAAGGCACAGGGGAACATAATAGATTCTAAAAACAGAACAATGGTGTACATTGCTGAACTAATGCACTACTTTTAGTCTGAGGAAAGATCGTTTACTTAAGCAAAAGAACCAATACATGAATGTAAAAAAAAAAAAAAAGTGTGTTCGTCCTGAATTCAAAATTCTTATCAGCAAAATGCAATTTAAATCTTTCTTTTTTGTATATATAACAGATAAAATGTACAATATTGTGTATGAATGAAAGCATGAAGTATAGAAAAGTCCTTTTCTGAAAATAACTTGATACTTGAGTAAATGCATGTGATTGCTTGACCACCTTTCAGGCCTGTGAGTTGAATACAAAGCCACCTAAAGCTGAGTGAACATTACCCAAGGCTCAGTGAATTACTAACTCGATGCAGGAGCTTTGATATGTACAAATTAAAAAACAGCTCCATCTACTGTGCAAATACACGCCGTGTAACGTGCCGGATGAGACGCTGTATCCTCCTCAATCCGAAGAAGGTTTTGCACTTCCAATTTTGCAAGATGTTGTCTAACCAGTTATGTTTCTCTAGTTGTTTATTGCAGATGTTTATTTTCATTGTATGTTATTTCCTAGAAAGAAACTGGTGTGTACCTGTAAATTCATTGACGGCCTTCCAGTGAGGATAATGTTATTTTTGTTCAGAATTATTGGAAAATTAAAGATAATATTCCATTTTCCTGCTGGTGTAACCTGCTCTCAGTATGTGCACAAAAGCTTAGCTGGACAAACAAAAATGTGAAATCTGTTTACAGAAGTTATAAACTTTTAAATGGGAAAGTTGTTGGAGGAATTACTCTAAAATGAATTGTCTCTGCGTTCCTGTGAGTAGTGCTAAATTGTGTCGTATTTTTTCCTGGAAAAATCTTTAGGAATTTACATAAAGGTGCAAAAAAAAAAAAAAAAAGAAAAGTGGCACCAGTTTTATTCATTCCCATTTAAGAAGAGTGCCGTGAGTAAATGTTTGAGGTTGTAACGAAGGCTGAATAAGAGATACCATGCCCACAGCACACTCAGTGTTCTCAGGTTAAAGAGTCTAAACTCTGATGTATGCATCCAAAGTGGGAAAATGTAAATAAGTGGATTTACTCAAGTATTGTTCTCATTGTAAATACAATTTCAGATAGTTGCTCTTTGCTTAAGTATTTCCATTTAATGCTGCTTTCTACCAATACTCCACTACATCTCGGGGAAATATTATACATTTCAGATACAGCACACGCTTTAGTTACTTTAAAGACAGATATTTGACGCTAAAAGCAAATGACCAGACTAATAAAAATGAATTATTACAGAGCAACTACTGCAGTAAATGCAACAACACATATTCTAGTATATTATTCTGTAAAATGACATAAGGCATATTAAGGCTGGATTACCAACCAGACAAAGTGGGCCCCAAAAGGTAGAAAAGTTCTGCTTTTGCCAGTTTAATTTGAGAAAATGTCATCTGCATTATCGTGTCATTTTGCAGCTGTGTGTTTAAGAAGTGCTTTTGTCAAAGAATAACACCTTTGGTATTATAATTTATTTGCTTATTTTTGGTTTATATTATGCAAATATGGTGCATTTTCCTACTTGACGTTGCTCTGTGTCAAATTACCACAAACCTAACCGAAACCTAACATTAAAAAAAGGCTGTGACGATGTAATACATGAGCACATACAGTATGTCACAAAAGTGAGTCTCCTAATCAGAGTACGCCTCACATTTCTGCAAATATTTTATCATATCTTTTCATGGGACAACACTGAAGAAATGGCACTTTGCTACAATGTAAAGTAGTCAGTGTACAGCCTGTATGACTGTGTCAGTTCACTGTCCCCTCAAAGTAACTCAATACACAATGTCTAAACTGCTGGCAACAAAAAGTGGAAATGTCCAAATTGGGCCCAAGGTGTCAATATTTTGTGTGGCCACCATTATTTTCCAGAACTGCCTGAACCCTCTTGGGTATGGAGTTCACCACAGCTTCACAGGTTGCCACTGGAATCCTCACTTTTGTGACATACTGTATGTACTCACTGGTGTCTGAATGAATGTCTGTGAAGATTCTCAGTCATCCAGGTCATGGTCATTCTCGTAGTTTAATCGTACCAACTGGACTTGCTTAAGTCCAGCAAGTCCAGTTGCTACAATTAAAGTACAAGAATGTCGGAATGAAGCCTCCATTTATACCATGCTATGTGCACTGTGCTCAGTTCAGGTCCCCAAACAGCAAATGCAGGCCTCGCGTCATTTTAAAGCCTCATAATTGAAATCTACACACTTCCTCCACCACTGACCGTCTGTGATGTGACTGTATGGGACTCCGAGGCGGTCTGCCATCTTCTCCTCGACCCTCTTCATCTCTGGTCCCTCTTTAAACTTGTCCAACTCTGTCAGAGCTGATGGGTTGTTATCCACCTCCTCCACAAACCTGGTGCACTGGTCAAAGAACCTCATGAGAGCATCATTCACTGCATGCTCAAACTCCATATCTGCATGAAAACAAAGCAACAGGTCACAGTAGAAATGCACCACAGCAGCAGCAGCATAGTGTCAGCATCCTGATCTCACCTTTAATACCCCACAGCTCTGTGAGTCCTGCCTTGAAGGACAGCGTGCTGTTGACACATCTGTGCTTGGAGCTGGTGATGAATTTGATGAGTCCACCTCGAAGCTTCTCCTCTGAGATCAGCGAGGGGAACAGCTTGGACAGCCTGACAGCCAGATGTCGATGATCGTTGACACCTTTCTGGACCAGCCGTCCGTCCATGTCCTCCGTGTACCACATCGTCCACTGCGTCTGGATTTCCTGCAGCCAGCTGTCTTTGGCCGGCGCGCCGCTCCGGACCAGATCGTACAGCTTCTGCATCTTCTTGACGTTTTTGGCCGTCGGGTATCTCGTTCCATGTCTTATGATGGCAGTCAGATGGATTTGGCGACACTGTGCAGACGGAGGCTGTAACACAGACGTGTTTACAGCCAGTATGTCCTCTATGAGATGCGGGTTCACTTCCTCATACCTCCCCTTCGTGCTGAAATATTTGGCGATCGCGGGAATGTCCGCATTTTTCTCTGGATTCACATCGTTGAGGAAACACCAGGAAACAGCGGGTATGGCGGTGAAATGAAAAACGATGATTTTCCATAAAATGATCGGCATGATCCGCTCCTGCTCGTGTGCCAGGCCGTGTGCAGACTGGTGACGTTGTCCATGAGGGATTGTCCAAACAATCCGTCACATGGGGGACCATGCGCAAAACTGACAAACAGATTGTAGGCCCGTGTACTCCTTTTTATTAACTCATGATGGTCACCGTGCAAAATATCGCCATTCAAGGGAATTTCTGTCACAAATACTTAAAATATGTATGTGATATGCATGGATGCATATTTAAAACAGCATTTTTTACACAATATGCTCCAAAAAGGGAAATTGTTGCATTTGATTTGAGCTCCAAACAACAGCTATGAGAGCAAATTTGGACTTGTTTCAGCTTTAAAGTCATGTTATCTACATGCAAATAGACTGCTGCATGGACAAGTCATCTTAGATATTTAAAAGTCATGATGGATCCAACAAGGTGAATCATGCATGTGCTCAGATTTAACTCTGGTGAAGGAGCTTTGTTGGAAATGTAAACTAGATTTAACCTCTTAAGAGCTGCTGTCCACTTGTGTTGACATCACATTTTGGGTTATATTACCACAGTAGTTAATTCTGGGAGCCTTATGGACGGGTACACCACTATCTATGATGATATTCAGTTTTTATACTTATCAGGTTCCAATAAGCCCAAGTAGCAAAGAGAAATAAAAGATGCACATCAAACAAGAGCTCAGGTCTTTAGAGGTTATACAAAGGCTAAATCTGTTTTTATGTCATTTTCCAGACATTCTCTCAGTCGCCCATGTTGCACCCTGTCACATCCTTTAAGTTAAAGGGGCAGCAAACTGCTAAAACAACACAACATGTGCTCTTTGCTTATGTGTGGATTAAAAGATTAAATTTTAGATGACATATTACATTTTGTAAATATTATCCACTGCAAGAATGCTATGTCATCTACCAAATATTTATCATAAAAAGTATTCAGTTCCATCATGTTTGGCAAAAATGCATTTCTTAAATAAATGAATTATTTTTATTTTTTATTTACAGCATACAGTTTACAATTGAGCACCATTTTAGTGCGATATCCAGCACGGTGCTGCCAGATTAGCAATTTTCTTGCCAAACAGTCAGGGTCAGTTTTAATACTTGATTATGATTTAATTTAATTGTTTTATTTATTTTTCTGAAAGTTGGTTCAATTCTAGTCTAAGTTGTGTCATTAATTTTGTTCATTCTTTAGTTAACAAAAAATAAAAAGTTGTGTTTCATTTGATTAAAAACTAGCTGGAAACTGTTTTGTTGTTGCTTTTTGTTTGACTCTCAGTGGACTGTAGATGAGTTTAATCCATAATTCTATTTCTTTCTTAATGCTCTTTGTGCAGGTGCCTGTAATGTTTGCACACACAAGCAACAGTTTTGAAATGGTTGACCTGACATTCCTGTAATACCGTAACTTGATGCTCTAGCTACTGCCATTGTGTGCATGACTGTGTTATCCTCTGTCTCACCACAACAAGGTTCACCGCTGTGGCTCATATTCAAATATTTCAATATTTGTTGGTTGGGTTGCCAGAAATTTTTGTGGATACATTTATGTTCCACTCAGGATACATTTTTATTAATAATGTTAATAATGCCTAAAAAGGACTGGAAGGGTTTTTGCAGTTTTGGGTTGCACACCTAGTTTTGGGCAGTTTATCTCCAAAAGAAAATCAAAGCCTTTTGTTGTCATATGCAGGATTAAACATGTTATCAGTGCAACAAAAGTCTGAGCTTGCTGTCTCTGATTGATTAATCTATTTAGAGATTGCACTCATTCAAATTCATTGATCATGTGCATCGATTCAGACATGCAAAAGTAGAAAAATATTGAATATACAAAGAACAGCACAAAAAGGGTATGTGCAGGGGAAAAAACATGTTAAAAAAAAAGCATGTTCAATATTTATGGTGTCAAAGGTCAAGATGTGCAAAAATATCTTAACTCTTCAGGTCCCTCTACAGATGTTCTGTTGGGTTTAATTCTGAGCTTAGGCTGAGCCACTTGTGGACAGTCAGAGACTTGTCCTGGTCTTTGTTATGCTGAAAGGCCAACCATTGCGCCAGTCTCAGGTTGCTGCACTCTGGAGCAGGTTTTCTTCAAGGACCTCTTTGTTAATGATTGCATTTATTCTCCCTTCAACTCTGATCAGCCTCTCTGTCCCGTTGGTGACAAGCAGCCCCACAGCATGATGCCGCCACCGTGCTTCCCCACAGCGACAGTATCAGCTGGTGATGAGCTGTGTTTGGTGTTAAACAGTCATTGTGCTTTGGGTTCTACCCAGATTGGTAAGTTTTAGAATCATTAGATCAGAGAAAGAGTTTCCTCATGCTCTCCTTCAAATTCAGTTTGGCAAACTCCAAGCAGGCCATCATGTGCATTTAATATAAGTCTCAAAACTTTCAACATGTTTTTCCTTGTCTAGATCTATGCCTCCCCACAGTTGTGTCATGGAGGTCTACTGCAATTTTCTTGGACTTTTTTTTTTTTTTTTAACGTCAATTGTGTTATACAGGTGGGAGCTTTTCTAAACTGTGTCCAATCCAGTCATTTACCAGGTGTGTTCTAGTCACATGCTAGACACAACCTAATCCTGCATTTGACCACTGTTTGAGTTTGCACAGCAAAGAGTCTACTTTGTTTTGCTAATGAGTAATCTCAGTTTCTGATTACTAAGAAATTTACAAAATACAAAAAACAATTACTGCTTATTCCTATTTACATTTTAGCTTCAAATGGCACCTTTACAACTTTTAAACAAAGCTTGGTCCTATAGCCCTGGGATGTTTACCCTGTAGCCAAGACTGGTTACACTTAAGTGCCTTGCCATGGTTTTATTGTAGCTTCTACAAATACATTAGATTGTTCCACTCCTAACTTTCAAGCTTGACAGCAGTGAAGCGTGCTCAAAGACACCGCTTTATGAGATCAAATGACACCATAAATCAGGCCTTGAGGTTAGAGTGAATTCTGAGATTCATGTTTGTCATTGCAGTGGTGGAAGAAGTATCCTTTACTTAGAACCAGTACGAGACGTATTATCAGCTAAAGTTACTTAGGGAACTGAAACTGAGTTATTTATGTGGGAAAAAATTGACCTTGTGACTGACAAATTGGTATATTTGATATTGGTATCACTGGCTGAAACCACATTTTGCTGTAGTAGCAGGATAAGGGTTAATTGGTGGTTCCCAACCTCAAAGTGTCACTTGAGAACGCTGAGAACTGTGAGATGGAACATTTGAGACACTGAAAAGGGAAACTTCTCTTTGACAGAACTGTAAAACTCCAGTTATTGGCCAAAATATTGGAAACCAGCAATGTATTCTTTTCTATACGCTCATCATATGTAAAATTTTAATCTGAACAGTAACCAAAAATGTAATATTTCCATCTGAATGTCGTGGAGTCAACATATGAAATAACATGTTAGAATTTGTAGTGAATACAGTATGGTTGTGTGAATGTGCTTGGTTAAATTCCACACCTTTCATCAACATCAATATCCTGACTGCCTGCTACTGGATGAATAAGTTGTATTACTTGATACCTACATAAATTATCACCTGTCTGGCCTTACAACAATAAAATAATTTAGTTTTAATCTAATTATGGTTGTTTTTATTTATACACATCTTGATATAAAGTCCTGTTTTCACTATATTCATATATCCTTTAATATTGGAGTAATATTGAAGTGAATACAATTTTCTTATGAGCATTTTGAACAAATTATAGATGTGACCGACCAAGCTAATGACTAATTAAAGGAGTCTCTGTGTTAAAATATTTGATTTGCTTTGCAGAGGAAAATCCTGAAAATGGCGATTACTGTAAGCAGCAACATTTAGGGGAAACAATTATATTTGTGGGAGCACATTGTTTATTTGATTTTGCAATTATGAGACAATAAAGCCACTGTAACTGTCTGCCTATACAGCAGGATGCTTGAGCAGTTGACATTCAGTCTCAAAGTCACAACCATTGAGCAGGTCCTTGTAGTGATTTCTGACATCCTGATAGAGCGGCATGGAGGCCTTCTGATCAGTCAGACCGGGGAAAGTCACAGGCTTCTCGTTGAGCAGCGGCTGCAGTCTGAGGTCGCCTCCTCCACAGTCGTACAGCACCAGGAGTAAGTTGGCTGCGTAGGGCATCATGCGGCTGGTGCGGAAGGAGCGTTGGGTCTGCGTGGCGTAGTTGGTCGATGTCAGGGCATCGCTGTCCTTGAAGAAACCCAGCAGGGTGAGCAGTGGCAGGATGGTGTCAGCGTGGCCGATCTGAACTGTGACAGCCTCAGTCACCTGCTGGCCTAACCTGGTTCACACAGGGTAAGGTAAGTTCAGGACTTAACATAACCTCTGCTGTAACACAGATGGTGCGGTTAGTGTAGATAAAACACAAAAGAAGATAAAATGCTTCCTGCAAAGATACAATCTGTACCTAACAATGTCAGGTTGTTAGAGCAGTGTGTTAACAGCATCATTTTTCAGTCTATGTGTCTGTAAGACATGTTTGCACAACATTTTCAACCAATTTACTTGTAGGAGTATAGTTAATTTTTGATATAGTTTATAAAATGGTGAACATTGTAACAGATAAGTGTGATAAGAGCAAAAGAAAAATGCCCAAGATGAAGCAATCCACAGATTCTGGTAATTACATCATTTATTCCACTGAAAGTTTTCATCAAGGGCTTCAGCAACCCACATTTGTAATAACTGCAGGTCATTAAAAGTTCACTTACTTGTTCTCGCTGGCCGCCTTGTCCAGTCGGCTAAACGCATCATGAAAGAGGATACAGCTCGACTTGCTGTTAATATCGTAACCGTGGCCTCTTTTCCAGAATTCCCTCAGGTCAGCTTCATACTCCATAACCTGTTGAATCAGATCAGTCACGGCCAGCCTTTATGTTTCGTGGATGGGCTTTAAGTGAAAACATAAATGTCCTGAGATAGCAATCTGCCAGTTTTGCATAATGTGAGGGGGCTTTTCAGGCTGAATGACTTTTAGGTCAGCGTGTACTGAAGAACACAAAACTCTCTTTCTTATATGAACAATGAGG